CTGTGAGTTTTATGGCAGCTATAAAAATCTAGTTCGTCCTTTCTGTCATATGAGGAGATGAACCTTATATTATCATTTTCTTTTTGTAGAAAAATATCCATTTATCTTCTTATTAAAATTTGCCTTTGGCAGAACAAGTCAATTGGACCTCCCAAACAGATTTTAAACTGTCCACTTCTAACTTCTATGCTACCTCCTTCCTCCAGGCCAATATTATCTCTCATAGACTCCGAGATAATGGTCCCCCAGCATCATCCTTCCAATCCACCCTCCACACTACAGACAGAACGAGCCTTAGGAAATGTCAATCTATTTCACCCTCTTGCTCAGTGACTCTCCATGCCAGCCTCACCTACATCACTCTCTCCCTCCTGCTGTTCAGCTGATCATGAGGAAGGGGTAGGGCTGTTGTTACAGTGGGTCAGGGAAGAATGTGTGAGAACTCAGGTCATTCAGTTGGGTTTCTTTTGGTCCTTCTTTCCTCCCGTGTGACTGCAGGTGATCAGGAACAACAACCCCATTCTGACAAGGCCATGTGTCTGTTTGGGCTGCTATAACCAAATACCAGAGACTGGATAGCTAACACAGCACCCAGTTATGTCTCAAACAACAAACATTTAGTTCTGGGGGCTGGGAAGTCCAAGATCAAGGTACCAGCAGGTTCTGTGTCCTTCAAGGACCTGCTTCCTGTTTTCAGGTGGCTGCCTTCTTGTTGTGTCCTCACGTGGTGGAGAGAGAGGGGGAGGGCTCGGTCTCTCTTTTCTTATAAGGACATTGATCCCATATGAGAGCCTTACCCTCATGATTTCATCTAAACCTAATTACTTCCCAAAGACCCCACCTCTAAATACTGTCATACTAGGGGTCAGGGCTTCAACCCTTAATTGTTTTTTTTTTTGCGGGGGGGGAGGGACACAAACATTGAGTCCATAGCAGTGTGATGATTGAGGCTCAGACCCCTTGGTGATGAGGATCTGGTCATGACACCTGGAAAGGTGAGAGGTGTCTACACAGGCAAGGAAGAAGGAGTCAATGAGTATCCGTCTATCTCTTACACTGATTGCCGCAGTGGGGGCTGAAGTTTGTCCCACTAACTCTGGTCTTCTAAGTTTTCTCTCAGGAAGAGAGGCCTCCTGGAACCCTGGAGGAGACACTGTCATGTGTGTACATGACATGGATAGGCATGGTGCAAGGGGTGGACTGTGCTAGACACAGAGATGAGTCACTAGTCTCTCTTCAAGGAAGGACTTGCAATGACCTGTGAGGACTGCAATCCTGGAGAGCTGGCCCTGGCTGGAGTCACACCTGCCTGAGGCCATGCCCTTCTAGTGGGGATGCAAAGGCCTGGACTTCTGCCCAAGGTGGCATAGCTCTGATGGGCAGTCCTTCCCCAGAGCTGCCTGCTGGGGCTTGGTTGGGCCTACCTCACAGTTTGGCTTCTCTCTTTGCTCAGTCTTCTTTCTTCCCCTTCCTTTTAACTAATGCCAATTCCTAATTAGCACTTTGCACTCACATTTGTCTCAGCATCTACTTCAGAAACTTCAACTGGCTACAGCCTAAATGCTTTGAAGGCAAAGGAGGAACTTACCAGCTAGGTAATTTCAAGCAAGTTGTTTCTGCATCCGTGAAATGGAGATAACTCTTCTCAGAGTTGTGTGAGGCTTGAGATCGAGTGTGTAAATGCTTGGCACAGTGGCCGGCATGTAACTGTTTGTAGTGTTTAAAAAGGGAGCTCCCACCCTAACTGGTTTGGCTCAGTGGATAGGTAAAAAGGGAGCTCCCATAGAAACTGACAGTTTCCCCTGCCCACACTGCTTGGTGAGTCCTCTGATGAGGAGGGAGAGCTGAGTGTTCTGTTTTCTGGCCACTTTGTTGATCATAATAATACCTAATATTATGTAGAATGAACTGTGAGCCAGGCACATAAGTGTCTCACATATATTAACTCAACCCACACAACAGCCTGATGAGGAAGGTGCTCTTTTTTTAGTCCCATTTTACAGATGAAGAAACTGAGGCACAGAGCAGTTCACAAATTGGTGTCAGTTCCCAAAGATTGAAAGTGGGAGAGCTGGGCTTTGAACCCAGGTACCTGGCACCAGAAGCTGTGCTTTTGCCCACTAAAGTACATTTCCTCTTGGTTGAAATTTATTCTACAAAGAGCCTGCTGTGCTTTTCCACTAAAGTACATTTCCTCTTGGTTGAAATTTATTCTACAAAGAGCCTGATGCAGAATGGGCAACATGGTCTCTAACCTCCCACTTCCCCATGACACCCTTCCAGAACTAGTTTTTTTGAATAGGAAAGAGGTG